AGAGTAGAGTTTATTTACATTCCATAGATCCTTCTTAGGACTCAACCAAAGGATGTAGAACATGTCATTTCATACAATATACATACACTTCAGAACTTTCAACACAAGTACATGAACGTATTTCACATATCAATGTACATAAATTTCAGCTTCTGCAATACAAGTATGAAAAATAATTTTACAAATTAATATACATAAACCTCAGAATTTTAAATATAAATACAAAACTTGCTTTACATATACGTAGATTATGGATATAAAGCTTAAACATTTTCAGCAGAGATGAAATCATCTACAGAATAGAAGGAGTGAGTAAAGAGGTAATCTTTCAATGCAGGCTTGAATACCTTTATATCATAATTTAGACTTTTAATTGTTGGTGGAAGATTATTAAACAACTTGATACCTGTATAGTACACTCCTTTCTGATATTTAGTAAAGTTAGCATTTGGCACATATAGATCATGTTTACGTCTTGTATTTAAATTATGTACATCTGTATTTCTTTTAAATTTATCCATGTTTTCCACCACAAATGATAGCAAGCAGAGTATAAATTCACTTGCAAGTGGAAGTATATTAAATTTACGAAATAATTTTCTACAAGATACCCTGCTTTTGACACTGGCCATTATTCTAATTATTTTCTTTTGCATGTAAAAAACTTTATTACTGTCTGTTGAATTTCCCCAAAAGATTAATCCATATGACAATACAGAGTGAAAGTAAGCAAAGTAAACTAGTTTTAAAGTAGCTATTGTCATGAGTGGTACGACTGTTCTCATGGCAAAGCATGCAGAGCTTAATTTGGGAATAATATACTCACGGTAAATATTCAGTGAAATAAAAGCATCACAATTGTTTGCGTTCACCATGGTATCAAGTGTGGCTACATTCGCAAACCAAAATTTATAAAGGGCAAACAGATACGCAAAATCGCCCTTTCCTGGATCACCAGAAGTGGGCCCCTAACTCTTCCGGAAAGTGGACTCTTCACTACAAATGACGAGTGGCCTACTTCATAACGCGACCTTGTGTATTACGACAGTGAAAGTCGCTAGGGAGAAAGTGTATATGAGAGTGAAAGTAAGCGATATAGATTCTGTTCAGTTGGTCTTTCAGAACGTAAAATTGTTCAAGTGATTTTGAGAAACGGTGTTCTGGAGTCTGGAAGAAATTGAAAGATATTTCAGAGGGGCTTACTACATTATCTGCATTTTCGACCATATTCTGAGAGACTACATCAAAGAACACAACCATCTTCATACTCGCCGTGAGAACCTGAAATCTCAGAAGTAAACACGCACATTAATAACTGAAAATTGGGCATGGTCATCTGCGTACACTTTCTAAACGGGCAATACTAATATGGTTTGACAAAGCCAAACGACAACTTTAACGAGAGGAATGTTTTCCCTACCGGAGAGTAATGTACATTTCGTACGGGGAAGAGAAGAGATCAAACCGATTGTGGGTTGGATTTGTCAGTAATGGTCTGTGTGCTTTTGAATTTCATTCAACGAAAGCGTACCACGGAGAGACAAGACTGGAGTCTCACAGACAAGTCCACTCTAACATGACCCTGTGAAATTTTAATGGACCTCGTATGAAGATGAGAAAGTTACCGACCACGTGATGGAAAAAGAAAAAACATAATTCTTAACTGTCTGAATCAAAAACAGATGCCTTTACATGTGTTTGGGGGTACAGTAGAGACGAACAACCAAGTTTCAAGG